TTTAAACTTTATGTAAGTTATTTGTTATTTTATATTAGGCATAGCCTGCCCTATAGCATGGTGTATTTTTTTTATTTTTATAAAAGTTCTATGTTTTTTATATAGGTTAAAGTGAGTTTGACGTTGTATTTTGTTGCTGCATTCAAGCAATTGACGCTGAACTGCAGCTAATTCAAAAGTGAAAGTAAAATGGGCACGGCGCTTTTAAGCTATTTAAAAGCGAAGGAAAGCGAGGAAAAGAGGGGAACTAAACACGAACAATTGCTTTACGCCGAATTGCTGCTGTTTGGAAGTGAAAGTAAAATGCGCACACCGCTTTTACAAGCTATTTATTCTGGACAACTGTCAGATCAGCAGTCTTCCCCATGATTGTGTAGCCTAGTGAACCAAACTGAGAGACCATTTTGAAGGCTCAGGAAACTTTGCAGGTGTTTTGAGTTGATTAGCTGATTGGCATGTCACCATATTCTAATTTGTTGAGATAGTGAATTGGTGGGTTTTTGTTAAATGTGAGCCAAAATCATCACAATTAAAAGAACCAAAGACTTAAACTACTTCAGTCTGTGTGCATTTAATTTATTTAATACACAAGTTTCACAATTTGAGTTGAATTACTGAAATAAATGAACTTTTCCACGACATTCTAATTTATTGAGATGCACCTGTATAAGGCTAATGTTGCTAAAGCTACCATTATCTCTGTCTGTTTTCACTGATGCTGTCTTCACGTGCTGTTACCAGAATGATCGTAAATAGGAATGTGGTAGTTAAAAATTACATTTGAAATCAATGTGAAGTCGACCGCTTGAATTTGTTGAGCTCATAATCACATGTGGGACTTATAAAGTTTGTGATAGCGCACTAAGGCACAATGAGACCAGCTATGTCGTTATTTTTATCGCGCCGTGCTCCTAGTCTGTGTAATTCATAAACGATCATTTGTTATGCACAGTACAATCAGATGACTGACTTTTAAACCGAGTACATTGTAAAGATAACAGGCTTGTACTAATAGTGGAATGTTTATTTGTATGCCAGAGCATAAGCTTTGAAGCTCCGCCCTCTTCTGAAAACGGGGCCGGAGCACCAGCTCATTTGCATTTAAAGGGACACACACAAAAACGGCACGTTTTGGCTCATACCCTAAAAGTGGCAATTTTAACAAGCTATAAAAAATTATCTGTGGGATAAACTTCACATACTCACTCTGGGGACATCAGAGACTTATTTTACATGTTGTAAAAAGGGGCATAATAGGTCCCCCTTGACAGATATTCACATAGAAAATTGCTATTTTACATTCTAATAATATTTCGCAACATTAGTGTTTTTGCATGTTTTTCAATAAATCAGTTCAACCGTGGTGATCAGAAGAGACTTCTATAATGAATATTAAAAATCCTAATTACTCCAGACAGTGTGTATGGTGTGATTTGGCTGAAGCAGTGGTGAGTGACTGGGTGGCTGACCGTCTCTGAGTCTCATTTAAAGCAGCGTTGGTTTGTGGCCTCCTGCTCTGCGCTGCAGTGCCGGCCGCTTTACTCCAGAGAGCTGCTCACTCAGTCCTGAAGCTGTTATTTGGGTGAAGGTTGAAGTCTTATTTTTCAGTGTGTGTTTTGTGAATCGCACACCTCTGACGTGTGTTTGTCTCGGCTCTCTCTCGGGTCCAGCTTGCTTGTTTTTCCCAGGCTCGTGAGGGATGCTATTTGGATGATCTTTCCACCCCAGAGTTCTGCATGCGTTGAGCAACTTAATAAAGCTCAATTACCCAGAGTGCACTTAAAGACAAGCAGCACTTTGAAGTTGTTTGGAATTCAGTAAAGTAAGACAGATTCCTTCCCTCGCCCCCCTCGCTTTATCCGTGCCTCTTTTTTCTTAATAAACAAACGTTTTTTTCCACTGTGCTCTATATGTGAAGGGGAAGGGCACGGGACGCCTGCCAGGCCTGAATTCCTCTCTTATTGAAAGTCTGAAAAAATCGGAGGGAATTTTCCATGGGAGGGAATTAATTTTTCAGCGTTTGCTGAGATGAGAGGTGGAGACCGGGGGCCGGAGTGAGCGAGGCTCATGGAAGAGCACAAGCCATTTTGGGTTTTTTCCTTGTTGTTCAAAGGTACCGAATGCCCAAGCCTGTGTTTTCCACAACAAGCCCGTTTGTTTTGTCATAGCGTCTGCTTTAGGAAAATGATTAGCACTTGCTGCCATTTTCCAGTACACATCTGTTTTTTACTCTTTAAATTGAAGGCAGATTAAAGGGATAGTTCACCCAAAAATGAAAATGTGATGTTTATCTGCTTACCCCCAGGGCATCCAAGATGTAGGTGACTGTTTCTTCAGTAGAACACATTTGATGATTTTTAAGTCCAACCGTTGGAGTCCATCAGTCTTATAATGCATGGCAATGGTAACAAAGTCTATGAGTGTAAAAAAAAACATGCACAGACAAATCCAAATTAAACCCTGCGGCTCGTGACGACACATTGATGTCCTAACACACGAAACGATCGGTTTGTGCCAGAAACCGAACGGTATTTATATCATTTTTTACCTCTAATACACCACTATGTCCAACTGCATTGAGCACGCGCACGACTTCCGGTGTGTGAGGTGTGTACGCGCTGCCTTGACACACTACTCACATCTTTTTTCAGAAGTGTGTTTAACTGTTTAGAAGCAGATCTCTTAGAAGTGGTCAGTTGTTAAACCCCTTCTGAAAAAGAGCAATTTTGATAACACCATATTGAGCAATTATAGACCAATATGAAATCTCCCTTTTATAGGCAAGATTATTGAAAGGGTAGTTTTTAATCAGCTGAACAACTACTTAAACTCAAATGGATATCTGGACAAATTTTCAATCTGGTTTCTGACCGCATCACAGCACAGAGACAGTGTATGCTCCCACTAAGTCAAATAATGAGAAAGAACAAAATTGCCTATAACAGCTATGCTGATGATACCCAGATTTACCTAGCCTTATCTCCAAATGACTACAGCCCCATTGACTTCCTCTGCCAATGCATTGATTAAATTAACAGTTGGATGCGCCAGAACTTTCTTCAGTTAAACAAGAAGAAAACTGAAGTAATTGCATTTGGAAACAAAGATGAAGTTCTCAAGGTGAATGCATACCTTGACTCTAGGGGTCAAACAACTAAAAATAAGTCAAGAATCTTGGTGTGATTCTGGAGTCAGAGTAATTTTTTTCTGTTTAGCTGTGCATTTACTGAATTAGCACTGTGCTACGTCCGAACTGGTTTCCAAATGACTACAGCCCCATTGACTCCCTCTGCCAATGCATTGATGAAATTAACTGTTGGATGTGCCAAAAATTTCTTCAGTTAAACAAGGAAAAAACTGAAGTCATTGCATTTGGAAACAAAGATGAAATTTTCAAGGTGAATGCATTCCTTGACTCTAGGGGTCTAACAACTAAAAATCAAGTCAGGAATCTTGGTGTGATTCTGGAGACAGACCTTAGTTTCAGTGGTCATGTCAAAGCAGTAACTAAATCAGCATACTATCATCTAAAAAACATTGAAAGGATTAGATGTTTTGTTTCCAGTCAAGACTTGGAGAAACTTGTTCATGCCTTTATCACCAGCAGGGTGGACTATTGTAATGGTCTCCTCACCGGCCTTCACAAGAAGACCATTAGACAGCTGCAGGTCATCCAGAACGCTGCTGCCAGGATTCTGACTAGAACCAGAAAATCTGAGCATATCACACCAGTCCTCAGGTCCTTACACTGGCTTCCAGTTCAAGTACTTTTACTCGTTTATGAATCACTCAATGGCCTAGGACATAAATACATTGCAGAAATGCTCAGTGAATATAAACCTAACAGACCACTCAGATCATTAGGATCGAGTCAGTTAGAAATACCAAGAGTACACACAAAACAAGGGGAGTCCGCTTTTAGCTTTTATGCTGCCCGCAGTTGGAACCAGCTTCCAGAAGAGATCAGATGTGCTAAAACATTAGCCACATTTAAACCCAGACTCAAAACTCATCTGTTTAGCTGTGCATTTACTGAATGAGCACTGTGCTACGTCCGAACTGATTGCACTGTATTGTATGTATAATAATTTTTATTCTTAACTGTTTTAATTTCATTTTATATAAATTTTTAAATCATTTTTAAGTTTTTACATTCCGGTGGTGATTATTTTTTATGATTATTTTAATTCCTTTTATATGTAAAGCACTTTGAATTACCATTGTGTATGAAATGTGCTATATAAATACTTGCCTTGCCTAGAATGATTTCTGAAGGATCATGTGAAACATGTGATCACATCAATCAATTACATTTGAACAGATATTCACATAGAAAGCAGCTATTTTAACCTGTAATATTCAAAAATATTACTGTGTGTTTTTAAAACCAAACAATAGTATCAAATAAAATAATATTAGAGACCGAGTAAGATCAAGCAATTTTTTATTTATTCATTTATTTTTTCCTGTAATCCTGCGCATGTGTCTTTAATGTGTCAAACATGTGGTCTCAGGGTCATCTGGTCCCGTCGGATGAGATCACGGTGTATTACAGCAGTCAGCCGGCGGGGGAATACCTGGATAAAGTCATCCAAGCACACACAGACTTCATCTTGGCCACGACTAAAGCTCCTCTCAAGCCCTATCCAGTGGCCCAGAATGCCAGTGTGATCGTCCAGGAGAAAACGCAGGTGACGCACTGATTGATGCTGAACTCATTTAGAGATGCACAGACACTGATCCACTCTGTCACTCTGAGACTGTGCCGTTTCCTTCTCTTTGTTCTCCTGCTAATACCAACATTTGATATCTACTAATACCAGCCTGCAAATATGAATATGCTGTACAACTCTTTATAGATTTAACATGGAGAAAGCATCATGCATGACTTGCTGCAGAACTAAGTAACAGAATAGTAAAGGTTTGTATGTAACGGGAATATTTGCTTCACTGCTTAATTCACTGCATGTACAGGAAGGATAAGAGCTAATGAACTATTGATGGTGTATACACTTGAATTATCATCACAAGTCAAGGCACATATTCCAGCATGTTTTCTGACTGCATTTCTATATTCATTCTCCAAATGTTCCACAATCACATGGCAGTGTAGGGAAAGAAATAATGAATAACTACACAAATCTACACATACGAATATAAATAATGACACAGAAAGCTGAGCTCAGCTGTATGAACACTATGGCAACTTTTTTTCCTCAGTGTTGCAGCTAGTTACTCAGTTCGTGCTGGTGTACTTACCACATAGTGTATGTAAAAAAAATAAGGGTGGCTGAACAGCAACATTTTCAGTTCCATCCCAGCTCTCATACCTCAGTTATGATACTAAATACACCACTGAATATGTGTGCTAATAGACTCATGCATCACAAGCATACTAAACCAATTACTGAAACACACACAAAATATGTCATGTATAGGCAGATCATCTGACACAATATTGACTGATATGTTATTTTTAATAGCCCTAAAAGGATGACGTGAGTGCATGGCTAGACTTTTGGGGTTTTATTCAGTTTTATTTGTCACTTGTGGCTTAGTGGATCTGGGCATATTAACAAATTACATCTGTTTTCCTCTCATATTATAAACCCTATACCCTAAAATACATCAAATGTATTTTTGAATAAAAATGTGTTAAAGGGATCGTTCACCCAGAAATGAAAATCTGCTGTTCATTTACTTGCCGTCAGGCCATCCGAGATGTAGGTGACTTGTTTTCTTCAGTACAACAGTAAAGAAGAGTTTTAGCTGAAACTGTGGTGATTCTTAATATGCAATTCAAAGGCTACGGTCACTTTGTAAAAAAAAAACATATACAAAGTCCTTAAAGTCTTAAAAAGTCTTACATTTAGTTGTATCAAATTTAAGGCCATAAAAAGTCTTAAAATAAAAAGTCTTATGATTTCAAGAGGTCTTAAATTTGGGGATGGAAAGACCAGAATTGCAATATGAATGTGATGATTTAACTTCAAAAGGCAATGATTTAATTGAAACATGCAGCAGCAGCGCTCATGTCTATTTAAAGTCCTGTGGTGCGCTGCTTTATGTTCTGCCGTTACCGTGGAAAGAGTTATGTTTCTGCCGTGCCAAAAGCACCACCTGCTGGCAGAGAATGAATGTGCATTTCCAATAAGGCTGCAGTTTTTGTTCAGACCAATGCGAAAATGGACCCATGTTTTTACCCTGTAAACACACAGAGCTCATCATTTTAATCATTTTAAAAATCTAAACCGTAAAATTTATTTATATGTTATTTAATTAATATAATAATTTATTGATAATAAGAGCCGCTAACACTAGCGTTCTCTGTTCTTTTTCTATTCTATCTACTTTTTTTTTTTTTTTTTATTATAAAAAAGAGCCTCAAACACTAGTATTCTCTATTCTTTTTCGACTCTCTTGACTTGTTTTATTTTTATTTTAAAAAAGGAAGACTCTCGTAACACTAGCATTCTCTATTCTTTTTCTATCTACTTGTTTTCTTTTTATTTATTATATTTAAAAAAAACCTTGCTATGCGAACTGTGTTAGGCTAACTGATACTTGTTATAGCACTTGCGTATCGTTGCTCTTTTGTTGAATTTGATTGCTTCTATTGTCCTCATTTGAAAGTCGCTTTGGATAAAAGCGTCTGCTAAATGACTAAATGTAAATATAACTGTATAAACTAATAATAATTAATACTTTTGATGCATCCATTTTCTTAAAAATTGTTTAAAGGCTGAAATGTAAAGTGTATAATTTTATAAAACTTTTTGTTTTTGTGAGAACTTGTATCTGAACTGTAAATCATGCTTTTTACAGTCATGTTACTATATACATCGCACTACCCCGCTCATATGGTATTAATTTTATTTCTTCAGGTCTTAAAAAGTTCTTAAAGTCTTATATTTGAGCTTAAAGATCCTGCAGAAACCCTGATACAGGCAACACAACATTGACCTGTGGCTCCTGGCGATATATTGAGGTCAGTGCAAGAAACTGAACATCACTTACAACATTATTACCTGTAATCCAGAGCCTCAGACAAACGAACAGCAGATTTTTCATTTCTGGGAAAAGAGCACTCCGTGCATGTTGTGCTGTCTTTAGAATGCATTAGCCAGTCATCCTCAGAAGGATATGTTGTGCACTGGGTCAGGGTTGTGATTGTTTGTGTGGCAGCTGAAAGGCTCGGATCTGGAGTTAACTATCGTGCGAGGGTCCTCCGTCTCCAGAGCGCTTCTGACCACCGCGGCCTGCGCTTACGTCAACCTCAGAGTCACGCTCAAGGACAGACAGCAAGGTACGTCACCCGCTGGAGTTCAGACTCGATCACAAGTCCTCCTAGAACTTTAACTCAGCCCAGATCTTCAGACTGATCTGAAGTTAGTTGCTATGTCTTTTCTAACTGATCGGACTTACGGTTTTCCTAAAAATGAAGATTAAAAATCATAAAAATCCCATAGACTTACATTGATGGAATGTTCAGATGAGCCAAGACTCATCAAGCTCTAACTGACAAACATTCAAATGTAAACAAACTGAAGCCCATTAGACTCCAGTAAGCTGCCTTCTATGTACTATTTCCTATCTATCTATCTATCTGTCTATCAACTTCAAAGCAGCACTCTAGCAACTATCCAAACCAACCTAGCAACCACCCTGAGTACCCTAGCAACCGCATAGCAACACCCTAACAACCACCCCAAATACCCTAGCAACCGCATAGCAGCACTATAGCAACCACTGCAGGTATCCCAGCAACAACATAGCAACACCCTACCAACCACCCAGAGTACCTTGGCAACACCCTAGCAGCCACCCCAAATACCCTAGCAACTGCATGGCAACACCCTAACAACCACAACGGGTACCCTATCAACCGCATAGCAACACCCTACCAACCACCCAGAGTACCTTAGCAACACCCTAGCAACCACCCCAAATACCCTAGCAACTGCATAGCAACACCCTAGAAACCACCCTGAGAACCCTAGCAAATATCTATCCATCTATCTAATATTCCTTATCCATCCATCTGTATTGTTTATTTAAACTTCAGACTTCTTCAAATGAACACCTTCAAAGTGCAAGCTTATAAAATTACTTCAAATAGGTCAGACTTTCTCAAGCCAACTTCAGAGTTTGTTCACAAACTTTACTTGTCTAGCATTGCTGTACGTCTGTGATGAGAGGGACACGTGTAACTGAGTGTGTTTCCGCTCCGCTGTCTGCGCTGTAAACACACGTTGTTCTCTCAGAGCCGTCTCCATTCATGTTTCTCTCAGAGGGTGTCGCTCTGCTGGAGAACCCCAAAGGTGATGACACCCTGGACGTGGAGCGGCTCAAGACCGTCTGCTGTAGTGTTTTTGGACTCAACGGCGCACCTGTGACCATATTCAATGGGAAGACAGGTGAGAAAGATCACCTCCAGGCTCAAAAACACCCAGAATGCATCACTAGTGGTGCTGATACAGGGTTTTGAATGACCAATATACTGATATATCGCATACAGATGCAAAGTGAGGTCCAGAAGTCAGAGATGACATTGAAAATTTGGGATAGGTTTCATTTAAACCTGGGAATTAAAAGAAAGTGCTGTATTGCTAGACATTTTTGCAAGCAGATAAAAGGAAATGAATGTCATTGGTCATGTGACTCTTTGTACAGACCAGCTCAGGATGCTCTTGCTAGACAACATGCTCATCCTCACATTCTTGTTTTATTTTCAGTTCACTTTTCAAACTGTGCTTACTCTAATTTGCAGTAAAACGTGAAAAGATAATGATATAAGAACGATATAAATGTGATAGGATTTGCTGTAGTGAGCTCTGCAGTCAGCTCCATCTGTGAGTGTTCTGCGAGTTTAACACTCATCTGAGAACGCAATGCATGCTGGGTTCACTTTATTTACGCATTCACATCGTTTCCTGCACTTTTGTACACAGATGATTACAGCCTTTCACCAGTGTTTCACCAGAACTTTAAACCCGAGTTCTTTTAGAACAACACCCCTTAGCTGTTATAAATTCACTGTAAACCACGGCTTCATGGGGATTATTGCTTTTATAAACCGGTTATTCCATATACGTAGTTAGGTTTCACGAAATAAAACAGAGCAAATAAAGTGTAATGATATTAATAAAAACAGTATTCTTCCACCAAACAATGTAGCTCCTCAGAATCAGTTGTGGTTGCAACAAAGTGGTTGCCGAGCAACAGACAAATGTAAACAAAGGTGTATGTTACTTTGTAGAGGAATTTACAACGAACGCGGCTCAGCCAATCAGAATCAAGCACCGGAACTCTCCGTTTTAAAAGCAGGGGTTTTGACTCATAATATATGTGCAGATCCACAGGTTGTGGTATCCCTGTTTGTTTTTTGCTTTTTCTCTAAAGTAGTGCACTCATATTCAGCTTATGAATTCTGTCATTAATTAGGAGTAACGGCGTGGTTTCATTTAGGTCAGGGTTTATTTATTTGGCCATCTGTCTTTGTTTGGAGTTTAGTGAAGAAGTGGAGTGTGTTTTCAATCAGGTCATTGATTCGTGAACTGGTCAGTGTTTAGTGTTTGTTCTCTTCTTCTGAGTTTTCCCACACTTGCAGATAGTGTTGTCACGAGGCCATCATTCGAGTCGTTTGACGCACTCTTCAAATGTAAGACGACATGCAGCTGAATCGAGTCGGTCCTGACACTCATTTGGACTTTCCATATTAGCAGATGTTCCTGAAAGGGTTTGGAGGGAAACATGAAGGTGCTGGGGCCTTCAGTCACGCGTGTTTGTCTCTTTCAGTGCTGAACGCTGAGACTGACCTGATGTCCCTGAGCGGGAGAACACTGACGGTGACCTTGGGTTCGAGTCCTGCAGACGCGAGCAGCTCCGACTCTCTGCTGTGTCCGTATGTGAACCTGCAGCTCATGAACGCCAGTCCGGCCGGTGAGTTTCACTCGTCACACATCTCATATATACACACAAACATATACATATCACTCCTAACCTCCATACATATAAAAATTAGGGCTGTCAGTTTAACACGTTAACTTAATTAGTTATCAAAAAATAATGCGATTTAAAATATTTTAACGCAATTAACGTACTGGCCCCGCCCCCAGACCTGTACGTCATCTTATTAGTTGACTGTTGACAAATATGATGCAGGACAACAACTCCATAAATTCAGTTATGCCCTAAAATTCAAGATATTGGTGCAAAAAAAACCCTGTATGAGTTTTTGTCTCATATATATATATCATATGATAAGCGATATCACACCAGCAGCGAGAGAATGTCCCTATATGAGTTTTTGTCACAATTTATATCATATGATAAGCAATACCACATGAGCAGCGAGAGCAATATCACACGAGTGCTGTTTTTGTCACGAAGAACACGAGTGCAAATGTGATTTTATACAACAGTTCAGCAAATAATAAATGAATATTGTGCTGTTTTTAAACACAATATTGTGTTTTTGTTCAATTTTGCCAGCGAAAATATTACCTATAAAGCCACAGCAGAATTGTTGTGCATCTGTGAGCAACACAGCGGTGTTTAATTTCTGAATGAATCTGCGTTTTGAACGAATCGTGTGAACCAATGATTCAAAGAGAGAGCCGTTTACTGAATTCCTGAATGAATCAGCCGTTTGAACGAATCGTGTGAATCAATGATTCAAAGAGAGAGTCGTTTACTGAATTCCTGAATGAATCAGGCATTTGAACGAATCGACTCATAAAGACATTTATCGCCACCTGCTGGCAGTTTTAGTTTCTTCTTTAGAGTATCATTTCATTTATAAAAATAAATAAAAAACATTAAAGGTAAAGTTCACCCAAAATAAATAAATTCTGTCATCATTTACTCACCCTCATTTTGTTTCAAACCTGAATGACTTGCTTTCTTTTGCACAACATAAAAGAAGGTATTTTGAATAGCCTACTGTTGGTAACTAAGCTGTTTTAGTCACTAGTGACTTTCATTGCATGAACATAAAATACTGAGATGTTTCTCGAATTATCTTCTTTTATGTTCCATACTTTATGTTAGGCCATTGTAGCCTAAACATTTAACAAAATAATAGCTTTAAATTATCTTGTGGGGGTATTTTCACAGCCGGATTTAGTTTGCGATTAATTAGATTAATTAATTGCAGCATCCTGTTTTAATCGACTGACAGCCCTAATAAAAAGGAATAAAAACTATAGACCTATTTAACAAAATAACTAAAACAACCAAAAATGCAACTAAAATTAACATGAAAACATAAAATATAACAATAAAAGCATACAATATATTAATAAAAACTATAACAGTTTCTCAGGGATGCTGAAATAACACTGGTCACAAATAAGATTTTATTTTAAATTAAGATGCTCCCTTTAGAAGGCAGGTGACCATGGAGTGCGTTACATTTCTATCTATTTTATTTTAAATCTGTTATGAAACACTTATCACGTGTTCTGAAGAATGATTTCATCACGACCTTGATTAATTCTTCAAGCGGGAGTTTAATATCGAGCGTTGGAATGATCTGAACAAGTGGGTGGGAATTATGAATAATAATTAGATGATATTCAATAATGATTGCCTGTAAGTGCTAACATGTTAGCTTTACATCTAACTGACTGGGCCTGAGTTCGTTTTGAACTTTGCCGAGCAAAACAAAAGTCTTAAAATATACTGATTATTGGTATTTGGGGGGCAGGTCATAACCATGTGTGCCATTGATTTTGTGTGTTGGGGTTTTTGTGAATGTTAGAGATGTGCTTGCTTGCTTAACGCAAGTAGTTAGTGAGCAGCCAGTTAACTAACTATTTATTTTATAAATTCTGAAACCTTTTTGTTAATTTTCTTAGGTTCTTAGGCAAAAGTGTAACGCTTAATTTTTCTTATAATTTTCTTAATGAGGATGCACATCCAGAGACACAGTGGAAAGCTGTGTGTTTTGAAGCGTGGTGTTGCAGTAGACGTGTGTGTGTGTGTGTGTGTGTGTGTGTGTGTGCGCGTTTTTGTGACAAATGAGGACATAAATTTGTATAATGACAAGGGTATGACATAGGTATTACAAGGAGAAGGTGACTTATGAGGATATTACCCCATGTCCCCACTTTTCAAAACGCTTATAAATCACACAGAATGGAGTGTATTGAAAATCTGAAATAGCACAAAGTTTCCTGTGAGGGGTAGGTTTAGGGGTAGGGTTGGTGTAGGGCAATAGCACATACAGTTTGTACAGTATAAAAACCATTACGCCTATGGGATGTCCCCACTTTTCAAAACGCTTATAAATCACACAGAATGGAGTGTATTGAAAATCTGAAATAGCACAAAGTTTCCTGTGAGGGGTAGGTTTAGGGGTAGGGTTGGTGTAGGGCAATAGCACATACAGTTTGTACAGTATAAAAACCATTACGCCTATGGGATGTCCCCACTTTTCACAAAAACAAACGTGTGTGTGTGTGTGAGAGAGTGTGTGTGTGTGCGCGTTTTTGTGACAAATGAGGACATAAATTTGTATAATGACAAGGGTATGACATAGGTATTACAAGGAGAAGGTGACTTATGAGGATATTACCCCATGTCCCCATTTTTCAAAACACTTATAAATCATACAGAGTTAGTTTTTTTGAGCAAGTAAAAATGCATAAAGTTTCCTGTAAGGTGTAGGGTTGGTGTAGGGCAATAGCACATACAGTTTGTACAGTATAAAAACCATTACGCCTATGGAATGTCCCCACAATTCACAAAAACAAACGTGTGTGTGTGTGTGTCCTGTAGAGTGTAAGACTGGAGACGTGGCCACGCTGCTCTTAATGAACCCAGCGGGGAAGAACGCCTTGCTCTTCCCTGATCTGCTGAGTGAAGCGGCTAAAGTCTTCGGCCTGAGAGGAAGGAAGCTGGCGCTCTGCCTGAATGAAGAGCTTACAGAAGGTGAGGAACACGTCATCTCTCATTCATTCACACTTCATTTCAACATGTGCTTGTCACACAGCAATTACTGAGTACTATATATATATCAACTACATGCACTCACTATAGGGTTAGGGTTTGGTTTAGGGATGGTGAGTTGCTTGTGATTCTGCATAATTTACTGTTATTACTGTAGAAAGTTCATATTCTCGCACACAGTGATTAGGCAGAAGTCTTCTGAAGCAGCAGTGTCATTGATCTGTGTCAGTGTGATCACCATACTAACACTCAAAAGTGAGCAAATACTGTCCCTCTTACTGATATTACAATACCTTCACATATACAATAAACCACACCCCAGTTTTTCAGCACTTTATTTATTTTTCATTCCATGTTCGTTGACTAGCTTTGTTCCCATGACTTAAACAAGACGACGACAAGACAACAATTTGGTCAATAAATGGTAACTGTGACTATATCAACATGCAGTATCGTTGACAATAAAAGACAAGACTAAAATGTATTTTAAAAAAAATAAAAACTCGACCAAAATCTCCTTTGATTTTTATCAAAAAAAGGAGAGAAAATATGATTGCGGTCTGCTGTACACGCCAGATATCAAGAGTTCAAATCCCCAAATCAGAGCTTCTTTGTTAAAAGGATACATTTTCCTGGTGTTTTCCTTCATTTTTGCATTCTGGCAACCACTCGTAATTACAGAAGCACCGTCGATGATCTGGAAACACAGACAAATAAGTAAGATAGAGATGAGATCTCAACTACTGTGTTTGGGATTAAATGCACTCATTCAACCGCTGTTGTTTTAACAGAGAAACACTATTGCAAGGTGGAATTATTGAAATTACTATTTGTCATTCACTGTTATAATATTTTTGTGTTTTAACCAGTTTTCATAACGTGGACCGAGAGTGTGCATATCTAAGTCTCTGATATTAACTTCTATAATAAATATCCTGTAATACATCAGTACAGTAGATCAGGTCAAATTAACCGTGTGTACGAGTCCACATTCTGTTGCTTTGTGTTTACTGGTGAAAGTGCAATACCTGAAATGCAGAAGTAAATTTCTCAAATGACAACAATCATTACGATTATAATTTTGAGCAAAAATAATTTTTATCAGTTTAACCATTATATACAGCATGATGAAAATGTGACAGTTTTCATTGACTAAAACTAGACTAAAATGCTCAGACATTTAGTTGACTAAAACTTGACTAAACAAAAACAGGACAAGGATAACTAAGAAGCACATTGACAGAAATGTACTGAATTACAATTTCAACAAATTCAACACTAGTTCTGCCCAAGTTGTGTTCAAAAGCATTATTAATTACATAATTGATTTTCAATTAATCGTTCAACTGATTAGTCATGTTTCTTTCACATCAGTCTGAATCTACTGATTATGTAATATATTGAGCCAGAGCCGCACAACTGAACGGATAATAATTGTTCATCAGTGAATTCTCTAACACAGCATTTCTGTGCCAGTGAATGAGATGCAATTCCAGATGTGTGCGTGTGTGTCTGTGTGTGAGCGTGTGTGTGTGCGTGCCTGTGTGTGTGTGTGTGTGTGTGTGTGTGTGTGTGTGCGTGCGTGTGTGCCTGTGCGTGAGTGTGTGCCTGTGTGTGTGCCTGTTTGTGTGTGTGTGTGTGCGTGTCTGTGCGCCTGTGTGTGTGCGCGCCTGTGTGTGTGTGTGTGAGTGAGTGAGTGAGTCAGTGAGTGAGTGAGTGAGTGTGTGTGTGCCTGTGAGTGAGTGAGTGAGTGAGTGAGTGCGTGAGTGTGTGAGTGAGTGTGTGTGTTTGTGTGTGTGTGTGTGTTTGGGGTTGATTTAGTCACATGCTCTCACACTTACTCCACTGGAAGACACCTTCACTCCCGATCTCCAGACCTAAGCAGTAACTAATCTGTAACCAGTTCCCCGTGTGGGGGGAGAAAAACAGAATCTACAGAAGCTAAATATATAATTCCAAAGTTGTCTCAGGAGTTCCCGGACATGCGCAGGTTTCCTGTGGCCGAGAGAAGCGCTGCTCTCAATCCCTCGTCTTCCTCCACGGCACATCAGTGTTCCCGTAAAACACCTGCAAATTAAAGACACGGTGCGCATTTCTCCTCATTCCGTTTCTCATCTCAGAGCCAGAACCCTGTTCGTCCTTGAACATCAGACTCATGCTGTTCATCTGAAGCCCAGCAGATCAGAAGAGAGTTTGTTTGTTTGCTGGTGTCTTAAAGAAAGTGGGTCATATCCCAGAGGCCTCTGCTGTCAGACGCACAGAGCAAGATGGCCGTCGTGCGCTCAGGTCTTCCTGCTCAGAGACGACACAAGTCCATCTAGTGTTTCATTCAGAGCGCAGACGCTGGACTCTTTTCATACAAGACGAGAAGACTGCAGCGAGCCGTCTGAGCACCCTTAGCCACCCTAGTTTTCTACAGACAAACATGCCATGCAGTAGCTCACGCTTGCTTCCGAAGACGTACAAATGCAGTGTGCTGTAATGTTGAGTTGTTGGCCATGTCTGATTGATTATGGTTGTGTTTCAGAGCTGGAGGCATCCTCTCTGCACACTCTGAACACCAAGACCCTCTTCGTCAAAGTTCTTCCTACAACAGCAGAAGCCTAAGCAGATCCTCAGCAGCAGCTCTTCCTCCTCGCGTCTGTTTGAGAAGATGGGTTTGGTGTTTGTAATGGAAAACTCTGGGAATCTCTTCATGTGTGTTGATTGATTAATTAGACAGGAGTAAGTGAAGATTATAACTGGAGCTGTACTCTGTGGGGAAGCTTTTAATAAACCTCGAGTTGCAAATAAAACCTTTGAAATGTTAATTTATCTTTATCATCTTCAGAATGGGTATCCATGCAGTGCGTGTTTGCTTACACGGAGAACAGATGCGATAGAAATGTTTCTTAAAAGAATAATTTCATAATCATGATCAGTGCTGCTGATAATGTTGTTCCAAACCCAAAAGACTCTCATTCATCTTCAAATGACAAATGAAGATATTTTAATGAAACCTGAAAGATTTCTGTCCCTCATTTGAAAGAGTGTAGGACCATAACATTGATGTTTCAGAAAGTAATCCAAATGAATACAGAACTTCATTGGTCAAGCAAGTGCATTTGAACCCTCGTTGACCATATTTGATGTGCTGAAACATATATTTGAAATGTGTTTGTAAGTGTCTTTATTTGCGTTTCGAAGATGAACAAAAATCTTAAGGGTTTGGAGTAAATGATGGTAGAGTTTACATGGATGTAATGCAGGCGAACTCAAAGTCAGATCTGTCTGTCTTAAGAACTAATTGAACCAACTAGCAGTTAGCCAAGGGTTTATCAGTCTTAGTTTTCAGATTCAAATTAGACCAATCTACCCCTTTTTCAAACTGAGTTTAGAGTTATGATTTATTAGAAAATATCTACAAAACAACACAAAGTATCTCAGAAAACTATGAAAACAAAGAACAAAACTAATGAACAGGAACACAGGGAACATTAGGGCTTAATATTCACAGGGAATATAGGATGAATCCATTTTTATTTTTTATTCTCTGATCTCTGAAGAGTGCCCGCCGTTGCCTCTACAGATGCACAAATCACTTTTGCACTTTTGCAAATCACTTTTTTTTCACTTTTTGCGATTGAAAAACCGCGTTTGAGACTCGTAGCAGCAGATTCACGCCGGTGTCGTTGTGCACTTGTGTTTGTGCTAGAAAACGCATCCAAGAAAAAAATATATATGTAAGAAAACATCCTACAAGTTTGCAACTTTTGTCTGTGACTTCAGATTTACTGATACACGTGTGTGGCTATTTTCTACAACTACAAATTCCGCTGTCACAGACGCTCAGTTGTTTTGCACCAAAAATACCTTCATACTGGTGTCTGTCAGCAAACATAAACAAAAAGCTGCAGAATTGTGTTGACAAGGAGCTTACGTTTTGAGCTATGTATTATTACTATGAATTAGGCTACTACTATTACTATTACCATCTTGTGCCTGCGATAAACATTTATTCAAACTCTTTTATGAGATGAAGGGTGGGGGGGGAGAAAATAGACGAAACATATCGGTCCAAAAAATCGGCATATCATATTTTGGCCATCGATCACTAGAAAAACCCATATCGGTTGACCTCTAATGCTGACACTTAAATGAATTGTTTTGCCACTTTTGCATTTGTTATTAATGTATTTTGAATGCAAAGGGCACTTTATTCTTTCATAAAATTAGTCCGGACCTTTGACACTGATGAAAATTCAGATTTGGACCTTTGAATGTCGACTATGAGAACCCCTGCTATATAGGGATGAGTGAATGAGTGAACAAGTGAGTGATTTTGGACACAACTGGAGAAACAACAATGACTACAAGATAAGAACAAGAAACAGGAAACTAAACCAAAACCTCAAGATAAAAGTCTAAAATGGAAATAATGTGACGTATCCCTTTAAGGTGTGGTCATATTGATAATTTCTCTGTGAAATTATGGGATGAAATCCTTTCATCCAGTCATTTTAACCCTCTGGGGTCTTGAGGGTGTTTTGGGGCCCTGGAGAAGTTTTGACTTTCCCTGACATTTGGTTATTTTTTCAGTATCTTAAAAACATATTAATGGCTAAAGTCTGATTACACTGTATTCAGCACAAACTGGGCTACAATAATATGTGAGCAGCATGAATGTACACGTTTGTGTTTTTGAGAAAACGTTTATGCGTGGTTAGGGAAAAACTAACATTAAGTCACTGAAATAAGGAACACACACAGAATATTTGTTCACAAGACTTTTGAGAACTGGATGTGGTAGAGTTTTTGCTCATCCTGAAAATCATCCTGTTCAATCATTTACAGAAAACAATATATTGATCTAACATCTGTAAAACATGTTTTGTGATAGAATGCCCTTATGCGAGGGAGTGACAATGGCCATGAATATTTAGTGATTCACACCTGAGAGACAAAGGGCCCCGAATAATGGGCCATCAATATGAATGTGACTGAACCGAGGCAGGTGAGAAAGAGAGTGAGGAGAGTAAAATAGTGTGGGGTTTGAGTATTTGTGTTTTATTTACAACACGGTATAATCAAAATATACACAGAAAAGGTCAAGGACACATGATTAAACATTCTGATCTAAACACAGACTTAAACAGTAACACACCTTTGAGCCAGACATTCTTAGACTCTAATATCATAGTGTTGACACTACTTTTATATCTTGTGGTTGTATATTATATAGAACATTAAAAAACCATCCTGGTATTGTGAGACATTTAAATGCAATGAAATCGCTTGATTTCATACATGTAGTCAGGAATTATAGTTTGGAAAGTCTAACTAGTAAAATGTGTACAGGTTATGTCACAATAACACAATAACAACAGACGCAAGTAATCTTACTCATCAGAATGATATCCTCCACTGGATCAAGCCATGTGCATCACATCGCGTTCTTCTTCTGAGGTAAATTCTGGGTTATTCCTCTCAGCGCATCTTTTTCCAAAAACAGAGTAGCCGAGATGAACTTGAGGAAATCTTCACGCTTTGTTGACTTTACAGATGATGAGTTTAGACGGGAAAAACTGGAGCCCGCGTTTGTTTCATACAGATTACTTTATCAGAGAATATTTGTTTCTGACGTGACTTGCTTCATTTAGAAGTAGACATTTCAAGCTTTCTATGCATATATTTCTCATGTCTGTGAGGCAAGTGTTCGCGGAGGTTTAGGTTGTTTTATTTACATGTCTGTGATGAAACTTGACACACAGCAGAGGAAAAGCACATTGTTTTGTTGCTATTATGACTGCACACAAATAAAAGTAGACCCTTCACCGTTTCAAACAATATCTTACTCTTATCTGGACGATCAAAAATGACGGAGTGTTTTTAGTTTATTTCGTGGTCATCAAGAAAAAAACCTTCGACCCTAGAGGGTTAATGGGAGTTTGCAGTTGATTCCAGCTCTGTTCACACTGTCTTAAAACTAGGGGTGTGCAATATTGACAAAAAATAATATCTCGATATTTTCTGGGATTTTATCGATAACGATAATTAGACGATATTTTGCTAAGTGTGTTATTGTGCTAATATCTTAAGGACTACCATGGACAGCTGACTCCTAAAGTTTTTGATATTCTTCATATTCTGTGTGGTGGTCAGTTCGTACTGATAGAAATTAATCTTTTTCAATAAGTTTAAATTCATTTTTTTTACCTTTTATGGGCATTTTTACCTTTACAACGCCATTTTTTCTAAAAGTGCATTATCTTTTGAATCATATTCTTACATTTACACACTGTTTAATGCAGGACATGAATGCATTTAACCTGCAGTTACAAATGCATAAATAATATTTAGATATATTAAACATAAAACATTGAATACTGATATTTGAAATTATTTAAATGTTAAAAAGATACTTTAAATGTGAAACTAAAACCGCCAGTAGGTGGCAGCAAGTCACTGTTAATAAGTGAGTCATTGCGATTGAACCGAATCATTTAAATGGTTGATTCATTCAGGAACGAATCACCGTCATGTTGCTCAAAGACGCAAAACGCTGTGAAAAGACGCTGTGGCTTTGTTTGGAGTTATTTTTGTTGTCGAAATAGTGCAAAAGCAGGAAATGTGTCTAAAACGCAAGTCTCTTCATTAACTTTTTGTTTATTGAACTGTTGTAAAAAATCAATCACATTTGTAATCATGGTAATGTTTGGAGAAAAAACGACACTCTTCGTGTGAAATTGATTAACTATATGAAGTGGTATAAATATTTACATTTTCTGCCCCATGTCTTGAATTTGTGATCATTCTAAATGTATTTTTATTGACTGAATCATACAGTGAAAGAACACACTCTAAATGCACACTAGTCTAGATTTCACGTCATGTGTGAACTCTGTCTGTGTTTTGAATGTTTTTTGTAAAATACGCGATAATGTCAAATCACACATCGTTAAAACAACAATTACGATAGTATCGCAGACGATATATATCACACGCCCCTACTTAAAACTGCAGTGCTCATGACGTAAGGTGCTTAAAAATCATTTTGATGACATGAAATGGTCAGATCAGGTTTGTTTGACTGCAGATGTGCAGCAGCGGTTGCTCAGCGTTTCACCTGCGACACATCTGGAGCTGCTGCTGCTGCTTTTAGCCATCTCGTTGATTCGCCAGACTAAAACATGCAGGAATCCTTGGATTCTCTGCAGAAACACCTGTCCATCAGTTGAGAGGGCTCATCCCTGAATCTCAGTGACTTGGTCTTTTGCTGCCACTGTGGCTGAGTGCATATTAAACAAACCTTCACCATCTGTCTGCTCACCACTCGCTCTCTCTGAAGTCACTGGAGGAGCACAGAGCGGCCAGTCCGCCATCTGCTATACACTCGCTCTACTCAGCCATCACTAATAATTAAACTATTGAGAGACTCCCGCATGGACCCAAATCTGCCACTGTACCACACTCCTCAGCCTTCATTTGCAGTGTTTCTGATCCAGCTCTTGAGCATCTTCAAGTGTCCTCTAAAACCTTTGCTTTCAATTGTGTTTACAGTGACGGACTTACTGTGGAAGTCTGGAGCTGGTACACTGAGACGAGTGTCAAAATACAGTTTTATGGAAGAATTCATATAAATATGTTAACCAAAATATGAGCTGCACATTTCTGCTGTTAACTAACTTCTCTTGAAAGACTTCCACTGTAAGCGCAGTGCTGTATAATGTGGTGCTCAACAGCATATCACAGATACTGGTGATACAGCTCAACTTATGCTGAACCCAGAACACGTTTTTACATAATTAAATAATGG